GAAGGTGGTGCCCGACGACCTGCTTACCTCAGCCCTGTGCCTCCCCTTGGGCCAAGCAAGGGACGTAGCTAAGCCACACATCTGTGCCAGGCAGCGGGTCCCCCAGGCTGAGGAAGTGACCAATTCACAGTCATTGTCGGTGTTGTGACAGTGAAATCCTCAACACTCAGATTGTGAGTAAGAAAGTTTGCTTAGCTCGCAGTCCAAGAGGTCACAGAGCATGGCAAGGCACCCGTGTCTGGGGACAGCGCACAGCAGACAGCGTCCGCTGCGGAGCACGTGTGGAAATGAAAGCGGACGGGAGACCACCCGCGTTACGGCTTCTCCCTCCACACAGCAAATCCAGATCCGGAGGCGGACAGTGTCCACTCCGAGGGGCACACTGAGACCCAGCAGCCTCTCCAGGTCCCACCTCTCCGGCACATCTGGCCGCAGCAGCCGCTGGACAGCGGATCGCTGCCAACGGGCGCAGAGTTGGAGCGGCACTGCCTGCCGGGGACGGTGGGGGACTCTGTTTCCTCATTCCGAGTGCTCCCCAGAGACTGGCCCTCTGTCCACTCCATGCCCATGCAGGCTCCCGTGAGAACAGGGAGTCCATAACACCCAGCCATGATTGACCGGTCCCTGCTGGACGTTTGTGGAGTGAGAGGGAAGGGGAGCCATGCCCTGGTGCTCACGGGCTCCAGGCTCAACTGTTCTCCGTGTGTGTGTCTCGTTTAATCCTGTAGCCACCCCTGGAGTCGGGAACCGTCCCATTTTCCTGTGGGGAAACTGAGGCTCTGAGAGGTTAATGTACCTGCCGAGGTCTCAGAGCTGACGGGCTGCACGGACTGCACCTCCCACGCAGACACTTGTGCCAAGGCCCTGCTGCTTCCGTGAGAGCCCCAGAGGCAGGGTCTTCCTGGGACAGAGCCTCACTTCCGTGCTTCCCAGGCCACAGCCCTACAGCTCCATGTGTCCTGCACCCTCACTCCTAGAATTCATCTCACTAGGGTCGCACCTTACATCTTCTCCATTCTAACTTGAATAACTGTCACAAAAGAAGCTCTGCAAGAATACTGTAAATGGGAGACGAGTAGCTTGTGCCATGAGCGAAAGAACGTAAGCATAAAAAGACCCACAGGAACGGAGCACTTTATTAAGTTCGCAGGGACACTGCTTGCCCCCCTAAGCTCCCAGATCCCAGAGGGCGTTAGGAATTTGTGGGTGTCGAGCAGGCATTCGGGGTATGTGGCACCAATCTCGGCCTGTCCTTCATGGCATCGACAGGCTAGGGAACAGCATCTCACCTGGTGCTTCAGGGTATTTAATACCCAGTTCACCATAATTCATCTCAGGGCCACAAGGGCCTCTGTCTCTGCCTCATCTGCTATGGCCTTGGAGGAGGCACCCGAGCAGGCTCAGGGAAAGACCCCAAGGAGCTCTGGAGGGTCCATTGGTGCCACCCTGCTCCCCCGGATTTGCACCGTGGAGAGGCATCCAGACAGCATGTTCTGAGCCCAAAGGCCAGCGCTCCAGGGTACAGGTGATGGTGGAGAGGTGAACCCAGGCCTGCTCTGCCCGGTGCCCGAGGCCCATGTGCTCATGGTCCCACCCCATTCTGTGGTGCTATTTGGAGATCCCAAGGCCTTTGAGAGGTGACGTCCAGTGAGAGGAGCTGAGTCACTGGGCGAGCCCTTGAAGGGACACAGGGACCGGCCGTCCTGCCTCCTCACTTCCCGGCCATCCTGAGGTGAACGGTTTCCCTGCCATGCGCCTTCACCCTGCTGGACGACTTCTCCCCGGGCCCAGGTGAACGGAAACCGTGAACCAAGATAAATCATCCTTCTGCAAAGTGACCATCTTAGTATTTTATCACAGTAATGGAAAGCGAATCACACACACACAAAACAGGTGACCACAGCCCCAAGCCTGGGCGGACCCAAGCTGACCCAGGCCCGGAAGCTTCCCTTGCGTCCCACAGCCGACCAGAGTGGAGCTGCAGGGGAAGCAGCCCTGTCCTCCGCCCTGGCTGCCCATTATCCATGCCGAAGCGCTCACCTGGGCGCCCTCTAGCGGCAGAACGGGCCTCTGCCCCTGGGTGCGGGGCCTGGAGGCCCCATCTGCACTCCACTGGTACTCACAGGGCTGGAGCGGTGGAGGGCTTCAGAGCCATCACAGTCAGGCGTTAGTCTGTACTGAGACTGCCACACCTGGCAAACAACCTCACGAAGCAGAAGTATCTGGGTTCCATCTGCTTCAGTGTGGTGGTGCCAATCTTCACTGCCACCTTGGTTGGATGGAGAGACGCCGACCCACTTCCGGGCACATCTGTAAAGGGGTCCCTGAGATAACTGCCCTGTGGGGTGGCACACGGAGGGGGACTCACCCAGAATGTGGATGGCACTGTCACGAAGAGGGACCCGATGGGACAAAAATGGAAGGAGGAGGACTCCCCAGTGCAGAGTCGGAACAAGGGAGCCCCGTGATTGAACTGAACCCTTCCGGTCCACGAACCACGGTGAACCTCTGCTCCTTTAGGCTGACGCTCTCAGGCGATTCGTCACAGTGACAGAAAGCTGACGAATACAAGGGCCAGGCACGTGCAGCTCGACTTGCCATTCCCTCCGCTCTGCCTGGTGCTGTGGCAAACTTCTGAAGCTTGACCTGTTCCAGCAGTGTCCTTGTGGTGTCCCTACGGCTCTGTCCTTCCAGGGCACATGGGACTCCTGCTTCTGCTCTCACACCTCACTCAGAGCCTGAGGTGCTGCCGGAGCCTGGCTCCCTGTGTGCTACAGCGTCACTGCGTGGAAACATGTGTGGGTCCCTGCAGTGACTGCGGCCCCCAGAAGCTGCATGGCCTCTGCCACTGCCCAGGCTCACTGCCGGTGCAGGGCCCGCTTCGTGGATTCACCTCAACTCCCAGCGCCCAGACAAGCTCTCTCTGCCCCTCGTCACCTCCCACCTCAGGGCTGCCGGGTGGGAACTGCTGGGGCTTCCAGAGCATTCGAACTTTCAGATCCCTTGAGCCGGGCGTGGTGGCTCACGCCTGTCATCCCAGCACTCGGAGGCTGAGGTGGGAAGATCGTTGCAAGTTCAAGACCAGCCTGGGCTACAAAGTGAACTCAAGGACAGCTGGACCTGCATATCGAGACCCCGTCTCAAAAAAAGACAAAAGAAAAACCCTTTCAGATTCCAAGCTGGAGAGAGGAGATCTGCCCTGTCCTGGAGTGGAGGAGACCTTGGTACTCTCGGGGGCTCTGAGGAGAGAGGAGCTCCAGAGACAGATGTGGCCCAGCAGGGTGGGGACCACCACCCGCCCCTCGGGATGCCAGCAGCCTCATGAGCACCCCAAGCCACAAAGACACACGGCGGCCTTTCTCTGCCATACCAGGGCCCCGAGCTATGCAGCAGCCATTCTCTGGGGCCATTCTCTGAGGTCCCTAGCAGTGGTGTCCTCAATTTTCTAAGAAAAATGTTCTGGGGAAGGCAGGCCTCATCAGAATGCTCACCTGCACCCCCAGACCCTCTGTCCTCCTCCCCTCCCTCCCTCACCTCTCTCTCCCTGCTCCTGGGCCTCATCTCCCGAGGGGGTGCAGCGGAAGGTGCAGCACCCAGGGATTCCTGGAGGAGTCCAAGCCGGCCTCCTGGCCGCTCTCCCCTTTCCGGGGAGGAAAGTCACAGGGCCACAGCCCGGAGCCCCGTGCAGCCTGCCAGGGGGAGGCGGCGGCCCTGGGCGGGCCAGGATTTCTTCACTTCCTGGCAGCTCCGCTACACAAGCGTATTTGTCTAGCAGGGAAAGGAATGTCGCGGACGACTCTGGCGCTGGCGGTGAGGGAAAACAAAAATAATCTATCTGCGGGCGTTTGCTGTTTCCTGTGTGCACGTGTGTGTGCGTGCCTGCACGTGTGTGCATGTGCAAGTGTGTGTATGAGGTATGCAAGACGTGTGGTGCATGTGTGTGTGCACACGTGTGTGTGCTTAGGTGTGTGCGTGCTCATGCGTGTGTTCACCAGCCCACTGCAGGCTCTAGGGGGTTCCCTGGACTCCGGGCTGCCAAGCCTGCCCAGCACTGGTGCCCAGTGGGACTCACTCTCCAGGGGCCTTTGAGGCATCGGCCCCTCCGCCCTCCTGCCCTATCACCTGGGCCTGTCCTGAGCCCAGTCCCTGCCGGATCTCGTCAGCTGGGCCCCCAGAGTGCTGTAAGGGAGGGTCACAGGGGACCTTTGTCCCCTCCTGTCACCCGGGAGGAGGCCGAGCTGACATCAGGTTAGGACCACAGAAAACCCAGCGGCACTTTGAAATCCAGGTGTTGGATCTCACCCCGCTCCTCCTCCTCCGTCCGTCTCCTTCCTCCTACTCGGGACCCGTCCCGCTCCCATCCCCAGTGTCTGGGATTTCACAGAGAGTGAGAGTACAGCGGGGGAAGAGCGCCCCTGAGGGATGACTCCCCTCAGGCTGCTGTGCAAACCGACCGGCCAGGCAGGAGGGTTTGTGGTCCTTGCCTTGGGAGGTGTAAAGTGTGTGCACATTTAGTCACACTCACAATGGCTCTGAGTGTAAGACAAGAGTCATTCTTAGGTAGATTAAAAAGCACACGGCTTAGCTGGGCCCCGAGGTGCACACCTGTAATCCTAGCCCTTGGGAAGCTGAGGCAGGAGATCATGAGTGCACGGCCAACCTGGGTACCTTAGAGCCAGTTACAAGACAGGGCACATAAGCGGCCCAGGCTGGTCAGCTACTGGGAGGCACCTTGTGCACTTCGGATGGGGCTGTGCCACACTGGCTTGTGTTTTGTTCTCTTCTGGAAGCTGCCGGGAATTTCTTCTCAAGGCAGGTGCTGGAGGCGGGTCTCCCGTCTCTGGAGGCCAGGGACAGACACTCCGCAGCCTTACAAAGCTTTCTCCAACAAGGGGTCCCCACATCTTCAGAGGCCTCGTTTGGGTTTCCTAAGAATGCGTCGAGTTCATGTGCCAGAGTCCGATTCGCAGGCAGGCACAGCTGCACCCCTCAGCCTGGCTAGCACGTCCACTCGCCCCGGAAGGAAACCGAAGTCCACCCAGCAGCCACCCGTGGTCCCCGGCCAGCCTCTGATTTTCAGCCTGCAGACTCGCCTGCCTCTGGCAGTTAATGTAGAGGGTAGGTGGCCCACAGCCCTGAAGGAGCACAGAGACTCAGTCTCCAGTGTGGGCAGGGCAGGCAGCTCGGGGCCTGTGGGTGCCATGGAGCGGGGCGGTGGGCAGAGGCTCCAGGCAGGGCGCAGCAGGGCAGGGGGCAGAGGGCAGAGGAGGGCTGCGCACCGGGGCTGCAGGAATCTGGCAGGATGAGAGAGGAAAGCAGGCTGAGGGCGGAATGGGAAGGAGGTCACTCGAAACCACACCAAGCAGGGTCCAGGGAGGCACTGGACCACAGGATCTGACATCAGTGCTGGCCAAGGAGAGAGTTCAGCGGGGACACCAGAGAAGCGCAGGGCGCCCAGTGAGGAGGCCGTATGGACTGCAGCCGCAGTGTCCATCCCCTTGTAGGAGGAGCTGTGCGTCCGGTCACAGACACCGAGCCAGAGCCCGGCGTGCACCTGCCCCTCTTCCCGCCATCTAAACTCAGAACTGTGCCAGGCGCCCCGAAATCCTCCTCACACACTGACTTTGATACCCGGGGGGTCTGTACTTCAAATATTTGGTGCCAATGTCTGCAGAGAAAGTGAAGCCGTTGATTGATCCAGCACCACCTATAAATAAACATCTCCCGAGCTCATCGGCACAGGAAATGTGATCCTTTCATCACCAGTGTCTACTGAGCCCCAAGGACGTGACGAACACGGTACCAGATTCTGACGGTGGAACACAAAGAGAGGCTGCTGGCTCCATGGCTGGGTGGATGAATGGATGGATCCAGATAAGAGATGGTCACACAGAAAGACAGATGATAGATACAGCAAGATGGATGCCAGGCACGATGGTACAGGCCTGTAATCCCAGCACTTGGGAGGCTGAGGCAGGAGGATCGCTGGGAGTTCGGGACCAGCCTGGGTTACAAAGTGAGCCTAAGGCCAGCCCGGACTGCACAGTGAGACCCTGTCTCAAGAAGACAAAAAAAAAAAAAAAAAAGATGGATGGATGGATATAAGACATAGGTAGATCAATAGATTAACAGATAGATGATAGAGGTGGACAGCAGACAGACAGATGATGGATGAATGGAGGAGAAATAGAAAGACAGAGCAAATAGGTAGGTAAGGAATAATAGATGCTAGGCAGATAGGTGACAGATAAGATGATAGATGATTGATAGATCGATGGACGGGGATAACAGAAGACCCACGGAGAGATAGCACACATGAAGAACAACCTGGGTGTTCCCCTTAGACCCATCTTTGGCAGGGTGGGAAGGCGGAGGGGGCAGGGAGCCCCCAGGAGCACAGGGCCATTCCCGGGTAAACAGCGGGCAGCGAAGGGACGGCGTCCCGGCCATGGCCACCTGTGGCGTCTGCTCACTTAGGGTTTCCTAACAAGCTGCAGACAGACGCTGTGGTGGCCAGAGCTAGAGACCCAGGCCGAGCTGTGCCGGGGGACTGGGCAGCAGCCCTCATGGCCTCAGAACCCCGCCTTATCTGTCCCTGCTGCCCGCCGGCGCCTGGCACCCTGGCAGCAGGGCCCGGCCCACGGCTATCTCGCTTGCTTTCACAGCGAGCGCATCCGAGAGCCAAGAGCAAATTCCTGGCCTCGTGGGATATCCACTCCCTGCCGCTGCTGACGGGAAGAGTCTGGAGACGGCTTTGGAGAGGCGCCGGAGCCTGGTTACCCGGGTTACCCAGGTCACTGGTCCTCGGGGCCTGTCTTCATGGACAGAGCTGAAATCCTGCTGGGCGTGGGGACACAGCCCTATAATCCCGCTATTTGGGAGGTGGAGGCAGGAAAGAATGCACACTTGGAAATTCAGTGAGGACACTGCGTGGAACCTTCTAGAAACATGGCTGCCACCAAGGGCAATGGGCAAGGCGGAGAGCTCCCTGCTCTCTTTTCGGGGAGCTTGGAGAAGCTGGGTCCTGCCCCCAGCCTGGGCCAGCAGGCTGAGGAGTGGGTCACCGGAACGGGGTTACATGTCTGAGTTTATAGGTAGAGCAGCATCTCCAGGGAGGGACCCGTGGGTGACCTGGTGCCTTCCATGCTCGTCCCACAAGACGGGGCGTCAGGTGTCTCCGGCTGTCCCTGTGTCTCTGTCCTTCTCTGGGCAGGGAGCACCCCATGTCAGAAGCTGTGAGCATGTGTGGGGTCCCCACGTCAGCTCCAGGTGTCGCCCCGCCAGCCCGGGCACCGGGTGTGCAGCAGCTGTGCTGGGTGCGGACGTGGACAGGCGGAGCGCAGGGCCAGTGTCCACCATCTCTGCCCCTGACTGTCTCCACCCCATGGCCTCCTGACTCTCTTCGCACACAAAGCTTCAAACATCATGCCCTTCCTGTCCCCAGTGTCCAGGAAGCCCGCACCCCAGCCACCACCCTCTTCTGTGGCCAGCCAGATGGATAGGGCTCGGGGGCAGTGGGGAGCCCTGCACCCCAACTCCTCGGGTGCCAAGGTCCTGGGGTGCATGAGGCTCTCCTTTCCAGGCTCCTTCCAGAGGCAGGGTTGATCCTGCATAGACTCCTCAGGGCTCACACAGGAAGGAGGTGGCCGGCTCTCAGGAGCAAGGGGCAGCCCCTGCCCAGCTTCCACTGAGGGCCTGAAGCTCCCGCTCCCCACGGCCAGAGTCACGAGGGCAGCTGAGCTGATGCTGACCTGCTGCTGGCAGAGACCGTGGGACCCTAAGCAGCGAGCCCTCTGCAGCCCCTGTGGCCCCGCAGGAAGCAGTGTCCTTGTGGTTCTGGAGGGTACCAACGAGGTCCAGTCACAGCCACACTCTGGCATAGAAACGGTCACCTCCCAGCCAGGCCCAGGAACCTCATCCTCCTGGGACCCGGCCGATCTGGCAGAAACCGACCCGCTCAGTGTCAGTTCTCTGCCCAGCACTGCCCTGGGCCAGACACGGCCAGAGCGCTCCAGGGGTTGTGTCCATCATCCCTGCCGCTGGGCCCTGGGGCTCCTCTGACCCAGGCCAGCTCACAGGGCACCCATGGCCCCTGCTCCCGCTCTCTCTGCATCCCGGGGGTGACATCCAAGCAGTGTCCCTGGGCTGCCCATTACTCCTCCCCATTGCTCCTCCCATTCTGCTCCTCCCTCCTCCCTGTCTGCACTGGAGGAGTGTCCAGCTCCCACTAGGTCGGTGACCACCTCTGCCTCCCCTTGCCTGGGTCTGGCCACACACAGACTCTTCCCACCCAGCCTCCCTCTCTGTCCACCCTGACCCTGGCCAACTCTGGTGCCTAGGGACCAGGGTCTCCCCCGAGGCCACACTGCCATCCTCTGAGCCCGCATTAGCCCTGGCCAGCACCCGTGAGCCCTGTCTCTTCCATAATCCTGTAGTCCTCAGTACCCACTGCAAGGGTCCAGGAAGTCTCCCCTGTTTAGTGGTCAAGATGCCCAACTTCCGGGGCAGGCTGGACAGCAGGGTGGGGAGCAGTGTGGGACACCCGGAAACCCAGGCAGATGAACACTGGACACCCCCTTGCCCAGAAGGCCTGAGCCAGGGAGGAGGACAAGGGCAGCTAACTCGGCCATCAACTCTGTGCAGACAGCCCCTACCCAGACAGCCCTGGGCCAGCAGCTGACCATGCCAACCCAGGGGAAGGGACTGAGGGGACACTTGGAACCGTCCACGTGCCTCAGCTCTGAAGGTGCTGCCCTGTCTGCAGAGACACCACACACAGGCGCCCCCAGCCATGGCTGGGGGAAAGAGCACCTTCGTGAAATCTCCCACTTTGGAAAGGTTGGTGGCACTTTTAAAGTTACAAAGCCGGGCATAGTGGCACCTGTAATCTCAGCACTCAGGAGGCTGAGGCAGGAGAACCACATGAAGTTAGACAGCCTGGGCTGCGTAATGAGACACTGTCTAAAAAATAAATAAAAAGTTACAGATAGAGCTCACCTGCAGTGAAGTGTGTTGGGCCCCCTCTGCCCAGGGATCCTCCCAGGTCCAGTCCAGCTCACGAGGGCAGGGCCTGGGGTCCACCCAACCAGGGAAAATGTTGGCGGCCTGGAAACCCATCGCAGTGCTGACAGGTGGCAGCAGGGTAGAAGGTGAAGGTGATCTGGGTTTTGGCCCGTCTGGGGCACTGGAACCCAGGGGATGGCTGCTGGTCCCCAAGGCACTGTCCTGCTGCAGGCCCTGAGCTCCAGCTTCCCCTCTGCACCAGGACTGGACCTCGATCGCAGTGCCCAGGCCGGAGGGGATTCTGCACAGCAGGGCCAGCACCCGGGAGCCAGGGAGTGAGTCTTGCTCGGCGCCACCTGCCAAAGGCCAGCCGAGTCCGCAGAACCACCGACCTGGAGTGACGCCATCCACAGGGTGATACGGTGTCCACTCCCTGGAGGAGCTGGGTGAAGGGGCCCAGGGGAGATATTGGGGTGGCTGGGGTGCAGGGAGGCCCCGACTGTCAAGGAAAATATTTCCGGGTTTAGTGGCCTAGCGGATCCAGGCAGGGGCTGCATCTTCTGGCCCCAGCTCACTGCCCTCCTGCACAGAGGCAGAGAGGGTGCCACAGGGGACCAGAAAGTGACCTCCCAGCCCTGGGACCCTGTCCCTGCTAGGGCTGGAAATTTAGCTTAGTGGCACAGTGCCTGCCTGGCAAGTGTGAGGTCCTGAGTTGGATTCTTGGTACTCAAAAAAAATCCTTGAAAGAAGAACCAGGGATGTAGCTCAGTGGTGTAAGTACCTGCCTGGCAAGCTCAAGGGCCGGAGTTCGAGTCCCAGTACCAAAAAATATGTCACCAGCATTCCCAGACAGGAAGTTCTGTGGAGGTGAGCTTGTTCTCTGCCATCAGCTATCGGTGACTATGAAGGCCCTGCCCTGGGGACACAGGTGCCCTCCCAGCCCCCCGGCCCCGGACTGCACCTCCTGAGGAGGTCACAGCCCCTTCCTGTGCCTCAGTTTCCTCTGCTCCTCCAGCATGAGAGCAATGCACACTGCTCCGAGATTGTAAGAAACAGCAGCCTGGGGCCTCTCCCTGCAAGACTCGAGGGGTCCCCTGTGTGGAGGAGGACGCTTCGGGGCAGCTCCTGCAGGACCCTGGCGTGGTGGCCGGCAAGCAGCCAGGTCCGGCCTTTGGCCCTGCGCTCTGCCCCTCCCTCCTGGCTCCGCGCTCCGGGCACGCTAAGCAGAGTGTGGCTGAGGAAAAGCACATTCTCGCTGCCCTTCCCCAGGCCACCTCGGGGCCACCCCTCGGCCACCAGGGACGGAAGCAGCCACACTGTCTCCTGGTGACCCAGGTGGCCTCTGTGCCCCAAGAGGAATTTCCTCCTCCTGTACCCTCCTCCTTCCCCCGCTCCCCCAGCGCCCTGTCCTCAGGGATGAGGCTGGAGAAAAGTGCCAGCGGGGACTTTTCCACTGAGGCAGGAGGAGGAAGTGCAAAGGGCCACCAAGCCGAGACGTTGGGGCGGGGACAGAGCAGGGGACACCGGCCACTCTGGGTGGGGCCTCTGGGTCCCCAGGACAGCCAGCTGCTCTTCCAAGCTATTTACGAAGCTGGACTAATCCGGACCGTAGGCAAACACGGCGCTGTGCGGGCCCCACTGGACCATCCGCCCCAGGCCGAGCCCGGGAGCCCAGGATGGGCAGCGGAGCGCGGCTGAGTCTGGCATGCAGGGGC